CTCTTGCATTCGGTTGGTTATGCTTGCTTCTGTGGTTCCTGTTCGCTTAGTCAGGATTTCTATTTCCAGCATTCCCTCGGTTTGTGTTTTCTTTATTGTCTCAATTTCAATTTTCAAATATTGAATTGTTTCCTTCATCTGTTTAATTACTTTTCCTTGGCTTTCTTTGATTTCTTCAATTTTTTTTGTTTTTTCTTCCATTTCTTTAAGGGAATTTTTTATTTCTTCTTTAATGGAGTTTTCATTTCCTCTTTAAGAGTCTCTATCATCTTCTTAAACTCATTTTTAGGACTGATTTCTTCTGTTTCTTCAGCCTTGGTATGTTCAGGTCTTGCAGGTGTAGAATCTCTAGGTTCTGATGTTGTCATATAGGTCTTTATGTTGCTGCCTGTATTTTTGCACTGGCGTCTACTCATCTCTTCCTCTGCTCAGTGTAGGTGGTATCTGTGTCTGAAGGTGCCTCTCTTGTTCTAATTGATAGTCTTGGTCCACTAGGAGTTCTTGGTCAAATCGGTGTGGTTGGGCTCTGTTTCTCCGGGAGCAGCTTAGTCCAATCAGTGTTAGTGGGTTCTGTCTCAGGGAGCAGTTATGCCCAGTTGGTGCAGGGTGTGCTTATGGTTTCAGTGGTTGTTAGGTTCATAGGGGTTGGTTTTTTTGTTGTTATTGTTGTTTTGTTTTCTGGGGTTTTTTTGTTTGTTTGTTTGTTTTTGTTTTTTGTTTTGGTGGGGGAGCAGGGAAAGGTAGCTGTCTGGTCCCTGGGACTTCAATGGGTATGGCTGAGGGCCTAGAGACCTGATCTGCCAGTCCGGAGATGGGGACTTACCTGTTCCCAGTTGGTGTAGGGTAGCCTTATGATTCTGGTGATCTGGTTCAGTGGCTGGGGGGCGCCTTCTTTTGTGTTCTCAGGTCACGTTTTGCTCTTTTGTCAACTCCTCAGCTGATCTTGTTTCCTCAGACTGCAGACTGTAGGCTTCTGAATCCTCTCCCGGATGGATCTCAGCTGAGCAGGTTGTTTAGTAGGGTAATCTCACCAACACCTCCAAGTTGTTGGATTTCGCAGGATCAGCAGCTGGACCCTGGGTTGGCCTCAGACAGAGTGTTTAGATCCGTCTGGTCACATCCCATGGGGATGGCTCCTTCCTTGGGTGCTGGGATTAAAGGCGTCCCTGTTCTAAGATTTTAATCTCCGTTTTCACTAACCTTTCAGCAGATAATAGCTCAGTTTCTGATCTTTATTACGACTGTGTCTCTGCCGCTGCCCGCTGCTCTGCCTGTCTGCCTCTGGGCCACTCTGCCTCCCCGCCTCACTCTTATCCTGCCTTACCATAGGTACTAAAACAGCTTCTTTATTAACCAATAGTAGCAACACACATTCACAGCATTCAGAAAGACCATCCCACAGCAGTGCTGTTCTTAAATAAACCAACTGGTGTCAGACTCTTGAAATTTGAACCAGTGATGGTTACTAAGTAAAATTGAACTAAATTTCATTCTGTTTCCCTGCTGACCCGAAAGCCTGCAGACCTCCCCACCTCTGCAAGACTGACCTTGAACTCACAGAAACCCCCTAGCTCTGCCTCCTGATTGCTGGGATTAAATGTGGGCACTGCAACTCTAAGCTACTAAGTGGATTTTTTTTGGGGAGGGATGTATCTCAGTTGGTAGAGTACCTGACCTGCCTTGTGTGAACAATCCCTGGGTTTGATCTACCACACTGCATAAATCATGTATGGTTGTGCATTCCTGTAGTTCCAGGACTCAAGAGGGAGAGGCAGGAGGGTCAGAAGTTCAAGGTCATCCTTCATTATATAGGAGGTTCAAGGACAGCCTGGGATGCAAGAAACCCAGTCTCAAAAGAGTAGGGGGAGGGCCTGTTCTTATGTCCTGAAATCTTATTAGGTATCTATTAAGTTCTAGAGGCTAAAAGAACACAACATGTTAGCTTGTGGTCATTGTACTCAATGTCAGGGTTTAGGCCCAACTCCTAAGAGTTGCTGAGACATCTGAGACCATATTTATCCATCTTTAAGATGGAGATGATGTTGACCTTCTAGACTGGTGTGGATCTGTGAGGTAGGTAGCAGAGAAACAAGTGAGTTGTCAAGTCCAATTAAAGAGCCAATCTCCACACTACCCTCAAGGAGAACTGGGGAACACTGGACATAATCTTCTGATTTGGTCCTTAGCCAGTCACTGGGCTGTGGGTAATGTATTCTGATCCTCAACTGTTCCCTTCAAGGAAGAGAAGGACATACTCTTTTTCTTATAAGTCTGAGTTATTTTTGTTTATTTATTTTTTGAGATTGTGTCTCATAGTATGTATCTGAGGATGATCTTGAACTTCTGACCCTCCTGCCTCTACCTCTGAAGCACTGGGATTACAGGCGTGTGTCATCACATCCAGTCTTCATAGTTCTGGGGATGTGCCCTGGTTTGCCTTAATTGTCAATTTGAGACAGCTCCAAGTCACCTTTGGGGGAGAAGCCTCAACTGAGGAAATTGCCTAAATCCAGCTGGCCTGTGGGCATGTGTGGAAGGGTTGTCTTAATCCTTAACTAATGTAGGATGGTCCATCCCACTGTGGGTGGTTCCATCTCCTAGGCAGATGGTCCTGAGCTACATCATAAAGCAAGTTAAGCATTAGAGAGAACCAGCAAGCAGCATTCCTCCATGGCTTCTATTTCAGGCTCTTGCCTTGCGTCCCTGCCTTAGTTTCTTTTGACAGCATTCTGTAACACATGAGATGAAATAAAGTCTTTCCTGCCCTAAGTTGTTTTGGGTCAGAATGTTTGATCACAGCAACAGCATGAACATAGAACAGGGTAGAACCCAGAGCTTTGTGTGTGCTAGGCAAGTGCTCTATCAACTGAGCCACATCCATTTTTTTAGTTTAAATTATTTATTTATTTATTTATTTTGATTAACGTGGCATACGTAGGTGCAACAGCGTGCTTGTGGAAGCCAGAAGATAGCTGCAGAAGTCAGTTCTCTCCTCCCACCATGTGAGTTCTGGGGCTCAAACCGAGGTCTTCCGACTAGGTGGGGATACTCAGTTTTCTCCAGTGCAATCTCATTGGTAAGTTACCCAATCCCAAATGATCAGCCCTAAGCACATGTACATCTGAGCAACATTCAATGGACTCGGTGTGTCTCACACACACACACACACACACATACACACACACACACACACACACACAAAGAAAAAATAATTGAAGAGGCGGTCACAAGTTTGAAAGGAAATCGAGGGACACGGGATGAGTTGTGGAGAAGAGATGGGAGTGGAGACGATATAAATATAGTGCTCATGTATGAAATTCTTTTTTTTAAATTTTTTTTTAAAGTGCATCCCCACACTATTCTACCACTGCAAAACATTCTCTTTAATGTCATTTTGGCCCAATCTGTTTGTGCTAAACTAGTATGTTAATAATTTAAATCATGTAGTAAAGTTTTTTTTTTAAATAAACCACATGGCAAAACAACATTTTCTTTAATAAATGTTTAGGAAATTTCCATTTGAAAATTGAAAATACAGTAATATACATATAAACATATATGCACATATAGAGATACATATAAATATGCAAATATATGCACATACAAATATACATATGCTTATACTTTGATTTTTTTTTTTTTGAGACAGGGTTTCTCTGTGTAGTTTTGGTACCTGTCCTGGAACTCGCTCTAAAGACCAGACTGGCCTCGAACTCACAGAAATCTGCCTGACTCTGCCTCCCGAGTGCTAGGATTAAAGGCATGTGCCACCGCCCGATGTATTATTGAAATTTTTGCTTATTTTTATGTATATGGGTGTTTTGCCTGCATGTATATATGTGTACCACTTGCGTGCCTGGTCTCTGTAGATGTCGGAAGAGAGGTCTGTCCTAGAACTGGATTTACAGACGGTTTTGAGATGCCATGTGCATGCTGTGATCCAAACCTAGGTCCTCTGCAAGAACAACAATGTTCTTAACTGTTGAGTCGTCTCTCTAGTCCATTGCACAACTGGTTTAATAAATCTTGGGCAGTGTCCTCACTCAAGAACCAGCCAGGTCCTGGGACCGTTCATGGAGTCATGGACTCAAGGACATAACCAGTCTACCTGGTTTTCTTTTTCCCTTTTTTGGGGGGATGGGGTTTTCAAGACAGGGTTTCTCTGTGTAGCTTTGGTGCCCGTCCTGGATCTCGCTCTGTAGACCAGGCTGGCCCCGAACTCACAGGGATTCGCCTGGCTCAGCCTCTCAAGTGCTGGGATTAAAGGCATGCGCCACCACCGTCCAGGTACCAGGTTTTCAAAAGCATTGGGCAACCCAGGCCTGTCTTCCCCTGCAGTTCCCAGAACAATCCACTAGACGGCGCGGCTCCATGACAGCCGTGCCTCTCTTCCTCACGCTCATCTCGTTTGTTAGCCCAGCTAAAAAAGCCCGCCTCCTGGCCCATAAGGCGACGGGGCCGGAAGTCCAGCTCTCTCTTCCTTCTTCTTCTTCAACATGACGGTGAGTAGGCCGGCTCTGCCTTTGCCTCCCCTCCATCCCTCCCCATCCGCGGTCCGCGGAGCCCACGGCGGTTTTCTTGCCGGCGCCCGGCGGAGGACGGAGCCCGCGGTGCGGGTGGCGCTGGGGCCGGCGTGGCTGTGCGGACGCAGGGCTCGCCCGTCCCGTCGCCTGCCGTTCTGGGAAGGGGTTGAGGTTAGCGGCCCCGGGGGCCCGGGCGCGGGGTCCGGGGCCGCCGTGGGTGCGCGCGGGGCGGGCCGAGCCGGTCCTCCGTCCAGGGGCCTTGGGGATGGCTCGGTGCCGGGGAGCCCCCGCGATCCCCACGCCCAGGGAGGGCGCTCGCTCTTGGCCCGGGGCCGCAGACAGCTCCGGAGGGGGAAGGGGAAGGGAGGTCGCTCAGCCGCGTGCTTCCTGTGCGTGTGTGTTTAGGGTTACATTGTGTTCGTTCTTGTCCGATTGGCTCTTTTTAAGCCGGAGTCACTACCTAGTGACCCCCTTAGGGCTCAGGCTTACTCTTGAGGGTCCCGTCCGCCCCGCGCGTGGAGCAAGAGACATGCCGATCTCCCTTCGCGCTTCCCAAGCCGATGAGCGGAGACCTTGTTCAGAGAGCACGCGCAGGATTTGGGGACGGTGGAAATAAATTAAGGTGTGCAGGTGGAGGAGACACGGATTGACAGGTCGTGGGGGGGGGGGTTGACTGCCGTGTGACGACTCTGTTGCAGCAAGATCAAGGCGAAAAGGAGAACCCCATGCGGGAGCTTCGCATCCGCAAGCTCTGCCTCAACATCTGTGTTGGGGAGAGCGGAGACAGGCTGACCCGGGCGGCCAAGGTGTTGGAGCAGCTCACGGGCCAGACACCTGTGTTTTCCAAAGGTGAGTGATGGCAGGCTGGCCGGGGAAGGGTGGGCAGAGGGTGGGCCTCATCTAACCAGAGCACCAGCGCAGCCTTTAAGGTACGCTGGAGGAGGGTGTGGCGCTGGGCCTGACTGGAGGGTACCTACCTGTGCTTCTTGCCTCTAACTTTATGCTCTCTACCTCAGCCTCCTTTTATCTGTATAAAAGGGATTGCAATTCCCTCGTTTTGTGGCATTAGCATTAGGTGAAGTCCAGGTTCTGCTGTGAGTGGGATTTGAGTGATCTGTGTTTCTAGTCCCGCCAGGGAGCTTAGGCAAGGCGACCTCAGAACATCTGTACAGCTTTTATCAAGGTGTATTCTTCAGGCTGACATCTGGTGGTCCTGGCTGTTGAACCCAGGGTCCTGCACATTAGAGCTGTGTTTTCTTTAGAGTGTGATGATGAGATGGGTGTGGTAGCCCACACCTGTAAGCCCATTACCCCAGCTGAAGCAGGAGGATTGCTGCCGGTTAAAGGCTAGCCTGAGCTGCATTTGAAATTCTCTGAACATATCAGTTCTCTTGTGCCTCTGACTTAACTATGGTCATGAACTCCAGAGACTTGAGTGTATTTTGGGTTCTTAGTCCTGAAGTATGGCTGGGTAAATTAGTATGGCTGCGTTTTCTGTGTTATAGATGAAGTTGATTTACACATTAGAACACCACGTAGAATGTGAGTAGTTGCTGGCATCATAGAGCTGCTGTTGGGGGAGCAGTGAGTGCGGCGGGGGTGTGACATTACCTGACTTTTGTCCTCTGCCTGCAGCTAGATACACCGTCAGGTCCTTTGGCATCCGGAGAAATGAGAAGATTGCTGTTCACTGCACTGTCCGTGGAGCCAAGGCGGAGGAGATTCTGGAGAAAGGCCTGAAGGTGAGGCTGGTCCCTGTATGGACAGCTGGGAAGTCAGATGAGGTTTACAGTCAGCAGTGCTGAGCGTATTTGGTTGGTGTTTAAAGATGCCAGACTGTTGTTTGGATTCCCATTCTTTGCTTGGGTTTCTCTCTGCCCTTTGGAAGTTGGGATCATTTGATGCAGACTAGATGGGAGGTGGTTTTGTTGAAGGGGAGGGTAACCTGTGCTCCTGACCAGGTTGCGTAGACTTGATTTGCTCTGGCCCTACTGGGTGTTCCTTTGAACAGGTATTTGTGTGGCAAGTAACAGGTTGCTGCATTTTCCTCCTCAGGTGCGGGAGTACGAGTTACGGAAAAATAACTTCTCAGATACTGGAAACTTTGGCTTTGGGATTCAAGAACACATTGACCTGGGCATCAAATATGACCCGAGCATTGGGATCTACGGCTTGGACTTCTATGTGGTATGGTTCTTTACCCTTTCCCAAGCTGCCTGTGAGGAGGGGTGCCTGCTGCTGCTCTCTGTCACCAGTGCTGTCTTGCTGTTGGGATGTTGGGGTGCTGGGTTGAAGCCTTGTGTCTTGTCTGCCTGTGTGTACGCCTTGGGAGGAAGGGCCTTGTTTGTGGCAAGTACAGAAGTTGGGCACCACACAAGACAGACTGGTCCCTGCCGGTGTGGTGCTGTGCTGCCCCTGGCCTTGGAGTTGGCTGGACTGTGGCTGCCCTGTCCCCATTTCCTTCCCTTAGGCACCTGAGTTCCATGCAGAATACATAGCCACAGGTGTGGGTGGTGGGCACCTGTTCTCAGTGGGGATTTTCATGTGGAAATGACTTACCACAATGTGTTTCTTTCATGAGAGTAAAGAGGCCAGAAGTAAAGTGAGAAACCTTAGCACCTAAGATTCAGACACCTAGACCTCAGTGACGGGGGGACTCAGAGGTCAGGGCAGCAGAGCTTTGGGGAGTGCTTTTGAGCAAATGAGGGGGTGAATATGTGTTCCTTTGTGCTTTTAGATTTAAATTTTTCTGCATTACACATGTTACGTTGTGGGTTTTTGTTTTGAGCCAGGCTCCTTGGTTTGTACCCCAAGCAGGCCTTGAACTCCCTGCCTACATCTCCTGTGTGTTAAGGTTCTGGAATCTACTGGCACACTTAGTTGGATGTGTTGTCCTGACCCCACACACACACACACCAAATTCTATTTTTATGTGTATAGATGTTTTTGCCTATTTGTATGTCTGCATCATGTATGTGCAAGGGAATCAGAACCCTCTAGAGACGCTGGGAAATGGGTGGGAAAGGGGAAAGGTGGTGAAGGTTCTAGCCTGCAGAGCGCACGTCTGTAGTGTGGTGTTGTCTGGGAAGCCAGTCACAGTTCTGCCAACTCAGAGATGTCAGAGTCCGTTAAGTTTCCAGGAGTCTCCAGTGTGTGAATTTTGTCCGTCTGCTGTTGACCCTAAGCTGGCTAGATGACTGTTGGTTGTTCCTGGCACAGGTGCTGGGTAGGCCAGGTTTCAGCATCGCAGACAAGAAGCGCAGGACAGGCTGCATTGGGGCCAAGCACAGAATCAGCAAAGAGGAGGCCATGCGCTGGTTCCAGCAGAAGGTAAAGCTGATCTATCTCCCATGAACTGGTGGTGCTGGCGGCTGTTACTGGGATTGGGAGCTGTGCATATAGTGCTGTTTGGTGGGTAGCTTGTTTAAAGATAGATTGTATGGGCAATTTGTAAACTGGCTCCCAGGGTTGGTGGTTGAAAGGAAGGCCCAGGTCTGAGTGTAGGTAGCTGGAATCAGAATTCTTAGGCGTTAGTCTTTGCTGTGGTTCTTGCTGTTGCCTCCTGTTCTGAAAAATACAATCTCTTCTCTTTCAGTATGATGGGATCATCCTTCCTGGCAAATAAATTTTATCCAAAAGGCCAATAAAATTTTCTCAGAAATGCATGTTACTGTTGTGTGTTTGTGAAAGGAAGTCTGGCCACATTCAGATCCTGGGACCTCAATCACTTAACAGCCTCGATGAGAATTGCTGGTGCAGCCTGCGTCCTGGACTCCAGTGTTTTCCTGCAGCTCAGAGCCAAGCATTGTGCTTGCATGCTCTATGGATGGCCTGTGGTGCAGTGGTCCCAGTTTAAATGGGTTTTGAGAGGTATGGGGTGGGGTTAGGATTTGGATTAGTTCTAACTAAGGGCTGGGTCCAGTGCTCCATGTCCCAGTGAGCGCTCCTTGTTTGTGATTCGATGTGTGGTGACGGGACTACAAGACAAGCTTCTGGTGTGGTGCTAAAGACTGAATTTTGACTTTGCTGTTCAGAGTTGAGTTGCCTTTAAAATGAGAAGGTTGGGAGGCTGTGTCCAGAGGGAAGTCTCACAGGCAAGCTGTCTGATTTGATCTCAGTCCTCCCTTTTTTAGCTGTGTTTCCTCCTTCACGGAAGCAGTAATCCTTAGACCAGTACTAGGAACTCAAGTACCAAAACAAATGCTGTGTGTGTTTCGTACATGAACTCTAAGAGTTGGCTGTAACCAGTGATTTTTTTTTTCCTTCCCCTCCCCAGATCATTGAAATAGTGATCCATAGGCTGTTTTAGGAACTGGGGATATGGCCCAGGAGGTGAAGTGCTTGCTGTATCAGTGGGGGGGGGGGGGGCCGCAGGGGCTCATAAAAAGCCAGCAGCTATGGCCAGCCAGCCTAGCCTAGCCCAAGTCCAGGTGTGAGGCACTAAGAAAAGCAAGGTTGGGGGCCCCTGTGGAAGTACGTGCCCATACAGACCATCGTTTAACTCAACTTCCCTTTGTTGTGTTTTTCAAGATAGCGTCTCTTTATGTAGCTCTGGCTGTCCTGGAACTCAGGTGGCCCAGCAGACGTCAGACTCAGAGCTGCTCCACCTGCCTCTGCTGAGACTGAAGGCAGACACCACCATACCCTGCTCTTAAATTTCTTTTAATTCAGGGTTTTGTTGGGGTTTTTTTTTTTCCTTTTTTTTTTTTTTTAAGTGCATGGGCATTTTGCATACATGTAGGCCTGTACCACATTTGTGCTTGGTGCCAGTGGAGGCCTGAACAGGGCAGGTGGTATATGACAACCCCCACCCCCCGGAACTGGAGTCACAGTTGTGAGCCTGCATGTGGATGTTGGGAATTGATCCCCAGTCCTCTGCAAGAATAGCCAGTGCTCACTGGGCAGTGGCAGCGCACACCTTTAATCCCAGCACTTGGGAGGCAGAGGCAGGCGGATCACTATGAATTTGAGGCCAGCCTGGTCTACAGAGCGAGATCGAGGTCAGGCACCAAAACTACACCGAGGAAAAACCCTTCCTTGGAAAAAAAAAAAACAAAAAAAGAATAGCCAGTGCTCTTAACTCCTGAGCTGTCTCTCCAGCCTTCTTGCTCACTGAGACTGGAGATGGCTCAGTAGGTGGGTGGGTGTGAGGGCTTAGGGACTCACAAGAAGCTTGTGTTTTGAGACAGTGTTAACTCCTGACCCAAAGGCTATGGTCTCTTGTCAACCAGAGTAGCTTGGGATTTGCTGTGTGACTGAGTATGACCTCTACCTCCTGAGTGCTGGGATTTAAGTGCTACCACACCCAGTTTACACAGTACCAGGACTTGATGCCAGGCAAGCACTCAGCAGACATCTGCAGCCTCACAGCTACTCTATAAAACACCTGGAAACCGCTAGCCGGGTGATCAGCTGCCGTGGGAGCCTGTGTTGTGGAGATGGAACGCATGGTAAGTTTTAATGTTCCAGAAGCTAGGGAGTGTAAGGTCCCGCTAGCTGCTACCATTAGCTTTTGTTTGGTCTGTTTCCTTCATGTTTGTGCTGGAGGGAGGGCTGGGGCACAGAAGGATGGACTTGGAGGGTGCAAAGACATAACACTTGATTTTAACAGTGCAAATGTGCCGCCCTGCATTGGGCCTGCTGTATTGTCTACAGTTGAGATGGCTTTACATTTGTTTGGTTTTCGAGGGTTTCTCAGTATGCTCCTGGCTGTCCTGGAACTAGCTCTGTAGACCAGGCTGGCCTCAAAACTGCCTTTGAATGCTGGGATTAAAGGCATGTGCCACCATACTCGGCTACATTTGTAATTTTTTAGTTATGTTCCTGCAGGAGACAAGTGTTGGACTCTCTTGGAGCTGGTTTTGCAGGTGCTGGGAATTGATTGATCCTGGATTCTCTGGCAGAAAAGAAGTGTTCCTAACTGTTAAGCTATCTCTCCAGCCTTAAGTTGACTTTACTAAAATTGTAAACCTGGGATTCTGGCTCAGTGGAAGCAGTGTTGGGAGTGAAGTTAAACTGGAATTTGGTCCTGGCTCTACCTCGCAGTGTGATGTGGAGGTCATGGAGCATCTAGGGAGTAGAACAGTTAGGGTGGTCCCCTAACCAACTGTGCAGCAGGCAGTGGCTGGGCAGCAAGTGGGTAGGCAGGTTCACCTGGGAGTTGACAAATGTTTCCCCTTAGACCTGCAAAGTGGTGTATGCGGACTGAAGTTTATGGGCTGCCCACGTCCTGGTGCTCGAATGATGTGGGGAGGTAGTATCCAAGGACGCTTGGCTAATAAACTTAGTTTTGTGACTTTGTGTGATTATTTTCTCCAGCTCTTAGTTACAAAACTTTGACAATTGAGCCTGTCTATTGTGTTAGGATAGTGGGCATCTGTCCCATCAGCAGGCCCAGAGATGCTGCACGCCTTTGCTGAGGGCTACAGTCCTGCAGGGGCGTCAGCATGCTAGGCCAATGCTTTGCAACTGAGCTGCACTCCCAGCTCTAGAACTGATCTGTGTGTGATCAGCAATTTGCTTGCTATACTCCACAAAAATTTTGATGTCAGACATACTGCCGCCAAGGATAATCCCATGTATCCTATGGATTGCAGAGTGTTAAGGGGGTCAAATGGTATGTGATGGGACATACGAGCAATACAGAAGGGTGGGATCCTTAAAACAAGGAGCAGTGTGGGATAGTTGAGGTTGGGATGAGATCACAGGATGTGTAACCAGCCTCCCTTTGGGCTCTGGCTGCTTCAGAAGCTGGGCGACAGTGAGGTTACTGGTGGTTGTGCTGGGGTGTTTATATCAGCAGGAAGGCCAAAGGGCAAGAGTGAAGGTGAGAGCCGTCCAGGGATCCTTGACTTAACAGGTGGGGAGGGGAGGAATATGTGTGCCCCAGCACATCTGGTGTTCGGGGCTACTGGAGTCTGTTCTCACCTCCAAGTGGGTTACAGGGGTGGAGATCAAAGCAGGCTTGTTGTATAAGCACCTTTACCCACCATTGCTGACCCAATCCAGGTATCTCTAAGACATGTGATAAGTATGTATAGGAAATGCTGGTTTACACTGTACTAGATTAATGATCTTAGACACAATACAGTCCTAAGGGACAGTAGGGTCTCCTTCCCCAGTGGAGACACTAGAAAATACAGCTGCTGTCCTCTAGGCCTTTTCTGCTCTTTTGAGACAAGGTATTGCTGTGTAGACCAGATGGTGTAAGCTCCTCCTGAGCTTTGGGTTTACACACAGCTGCTACTCTCAGGCATTTTTGGTAACTGTTTTGGGTTTGTTTTTAAACATAGTTGAGAGAATGAGAAATAGTTGTGAGTTTTTCCCTTCAAGTGGCTGCATAATATTGCCTCCACCCACTGTGGGGAGAAAAGCCAGAAAACCTGTTACTGGTTCCCGTAGCCATTAGTGATGCAGTAGGAAGAGCACAAGCAGGGGAATTTTTATGTCTCTGATGCTGCTTCTGCCAGGGAGGGCTGCAGGGAAACCTGACCTTTTATAGAGCGGTTGGCTTTTCTGTAACCATGGGCTCACCCTAACAGTGCTCCAAATAACCAGTGGATGACATCCAAAGTTAACTACCAAAGGGGCATGAGTCCTAAAGAGTTAAGGGCCCCGAAACCACCTACAAACAGTTTTAAGCTGCCACTGGAGACCTGGTGGTGCCTGGGGGTACAGAGCTACTTGGAGAGCACTTGTTATGGAAACCATAGAGTGGTTGTCAGAGGGGAATCCAGCCTAAGGTGCCTGGGGCACCAGGAGGACTGAACTTGGCTCTTGAAGGTACAGGTGTAGAAGGATACGTTTGTTTCCAACAAGGACCACTGTGCAACCTGGCCCTGGGGTGTTATATGTAACTATAAGAAGCTGGAAAGCTAGAGACATTCAACAGCTTAACCATGGAGGGAGTCACTTCTCCCTGTTCTCCTGAAGATTGCTTTGATAGCATAACTAACCCTTTGAAGACCATGAGGACCACCACCAAAAGTACTTCTATTTTAGACAGTTTCACTTTATGGTGCAGGTTGGCCTGGAACTTGAAATGATCCTGCATCATCAGCCTCCTGAATGCTGTGGTTACAGACGTGAGCCACCCCCATCCCTTCCTAGAAATACAGGATGTTTGTTTCTTTGCAGGGGTTCTGTTTATCTTAGTTCAGCTCAAATGCTACATGGTGTGGCCTAGATGGGTAGTTTCAGCATCTGAAGCCCCTGGCCTGTGAGTGAAAACCCAACATGGTACTAACAGGTACCATAGGTTTGTTACCTGTAGGGAGCTCCCTTTCCAATGTTGCTAAAAGGAAATCATGTGATTGCTAACCTCAGGGTAACCATATAGGTAAATCTAGGAGTTTGTGTGTGGATGAGGTAAAGTGCCCAAAACAGTCTCTGATGGTCCCTCTAGGAAGAGTACACTATCTGATGATAGTTGGTAGTTGGGATTTTTTTTTTTTTTTTTTTTTTTTTGAGACAGGGTTTCTTTGTGTAGCCTTAGTTGTCCTGGAACTAGCTCTGTAGACCAGGCTAGCCTTGAATTCACCCAGATCTGCCTGCATTTGTCTGCCGAGTGCTGGGATTAAAGGCATCTGAGACTACTCCCTATCCCCCCAACCCCCGCCCTCCAGATTTTTCCATTTTTAAGCAAAAAATTTTTAATTTATATGTG